ATGAAGTTTGTGTCTGTAGAAGATAAAAGTTTTCCATTTATTGTAAGGTTTCATATAGATTATATATCTGAAGGGAAACGAAAAATGTGGGAAGAAATTGAGCTAATACAAGTTGACCTTTCATCTTCTCTACAGACTGCGTTAAAAAATATAGAAGATAAAATAAATTCATGTTATGCAAAATATGCTGATGAATATGCAAATACCGAGAGCACACTTTATGTGAGAATTGTATATGACAAACAAAATTCACAAGTGTCATTTCAAATCTACGAAGACAATCCAAAGAAAGACGAACAAATATATACAGAATTCACTGCAATGTCATGGTATTATTTGCAAAGAATGTTAAATCAGAAAGTCGAACTTCCTTTAGCAAATATTTACAGTCGATATGCAAGAGATGAACCATATTTATTTAAAGATGTTTTCGACCCAGCTGCTATTATTGTTCATGCTTCATTTTCTGGCGCCCAAAACTCTTTCTTATGCTTGGCAAATGACTTTTACGAAAAACCTACAAAGTTATACGAACCACCAAGTGGAAGTATTTCAGACTTTCAAGTATGGTTTACTACAGATGGAAGAAAAAGAATAATTCCATTATACCATGCGTTTTACTTAGAACTTAGTTTCATATACAACTACTATCGAACGGTAAAAATATAATTTTTTAATACGGTTGAGGTGTTGGATTTGGTTGCCAACTAGACTGTGGTGCAGGTTCAGGCTGTTGTATAACAGGAGCTTGCTCTTCTGGTTCAGGGTCTTTAGGTATAATACCAACAAACTGACCTACTCTTTTACCAATATTTTTGACACCGTTCCAAATTCCTCTTCCTACGGTTTTTATTCCATTCCATATACCTCTTCCAACATTTCGAAAGAAGTTTCCTATCTTACTGAAGAAACCCATTTTACTATATGTAAAAATCTAATGTCCGCCTAGTCTCTTACGTTTCCTGTTGAGTTCCATAGCATTCTTTAACTGGAGCTCATACATTCTGTTTCTCCTCTGGTAGAAAACATATTCTGGGTCAACTCCTGTGTTCGCGTCATCTGCATAAAGTTGTTTATATCCCACTTCAGGGTTTGTATAAAACTCTTTCCATCTCATATTTGCATACCATGGTGGCAAACCTAACGCAGCGTCATTTGACATGGCAGTTTGCATTTGTACATCTGTTGGCACTTGACCATAGTTTGCCATTGCAGTTTGTATTCTAACTTCATTTGGAATATTCTCTGGGTTTGGTTGTCCAGGTTGCTGTGCATTCGCTAAGTTCTGTGCGTCCATTTAATATTAGATAAAAATATCTCTTACGAGTACATATGCTGAACATTTGCTGGTATTGGTTCATCTTCATATTCTCTGTACCTTTCTGCCACGTCAAATAAGTAAATGACACAATGGAAAAAGCCTAAAACAAGTAGTCCTATTTCAAACCACATTTACTTACTAATAAAATTTCTTTGTTATGACACTTTCTCCAGTTTATAGGACCTCTCTCATATTCTATCTTGTCATATCTAAACTCATAGTCATGTATGTCCTCTAACCATCTCATAACGGTTTCCAAACCACTTTTATCGGATGTAAAGTAAAAGCATGGATGGTTATGTAAAACGTCTAAAGTTTCTAAAGAGTCTCTCAAAGTCCAGTCTACTTGGTATTGAAAATCCCATGTGTTATAGAACGGCGGGTCCACTATAAAGAAAACATTTTCCTTGTCTTTATATTTTTCATACAAATCTGTCCAATGACATCTCACAAACTCTATACCCTCAATATATTTTTCTATGTCCTCTTTGAAAACATTTGTATAGTTAAGATATAAAACTTTTGACATAAGTGTTTCAATGTCATGAACTCTTATAGCACCACTATATAATAGTCTAGCAGATATACTATCCCAGTCAATATACTCTGCCTTTTTCAAAACCTCTCTGACAGTATTTTTCTTATCTAATGGTATACGTTCCATCTTACCTATAGGTATCTTTTCTTTTAACTCTTTCAATATTTTGTTTGTGTCTGGTATATGTTTGAGACGGTCCATATAGTTGTCGAAGTCATTGCATATAATCTTTGAGTCAGGAAATATTGTATGGCACAAATGAGATATATAGAAACTTCCACCGAACAAGTCTACAAATGTTAGACCATTCGGTAGTTTCTTAAGTTCTCTCAATAGAATATCTTTACATCTACTCTTATTTCCAAAGAAGGGTAACGGTGGTTTTGTAAAATTCATTTTATATATATAATAAAAATGTTTTTTCCTGAAAAGTGACAGAAAAGTGACAAAACATGAAAACATATATAATTTGTGAAAAGCGACACATTATATAATGTTTTCGACCCAGAAGAAGGCTTCTTCCCAGAAGCAATGGAGGAAGAAGAAGAGTCCTCCGAATATAAACTTCATTTATACAAAACATCTTCGGGGCTAGAGGGCACGAAGTGCCTGGAAGCCCCACTACCTTTTTTTTTTTTTTTTTTTTTTTTTTTTTTTAATTATAGTTAGATGCATAAAAAGAAACGTATGAAAAATTATTTATTCGTATTGCTTGAGGAGACCAGTCTTCTCGTTGAAAGCAACGATTAACTTGTCGTATTCGATAGCAGCGTTCATCTGAGCATCCCAATAGTTATCGCAGTACCACTGAGCGTTGAGTTCCTCGAGTGTCTTGCCCTGTTGTTCGATCCATGTGTAGTACTTGAGGTTGTGGATTCTCTTGCGTGTAGCGTATGTGAGCTCTTCGACGTGGTCTGTTGAAGCGCCGAGCATGTATCTGAACCAGTCAGCGTAAGCCTGGCATTCTGTGTACTTGCCGTGCTTCTCCTCGAGTTCCTTGAGTCTGGACTGGTACATGACGGCAGAGTCTGTAGCGACTGTGAACATCATGTCCTTCTCTGTGAATTCGAAGTACTTGGCCATCTTGATGCAGCCGAGGATGTTAGCAATGCCGGAGATACCAAGGTTGGCGAGGTCTTCGATGAGTTCATCGGAAACGCCGTGTTCCTTGAGAACCTTCTTGCCTTCTGGTGTGTTGAAGACTCTGAGCATCTGCATGCAAGCCTCATCATCGATGCCGAGGACAACATCCTGGTCCTTGGCGTTCAAGACCCATGGAACGTGCTTGTCACCGATGCCTTCGATTCTGTGGTCACCGAAGCCGTTGACAAGAAGTGTTGGGCATTGAAGGGCTTCAGAGCAGCCTAACTTCATGTGTGGGTACTTCTTGTGGAGGTACATGCCGGAAGCGAGTGTGCCAGCAGAGCCCTGGTTGAGGCAAACACCAGCAAGGCGGGATCCTTCCTTCTTGTGGTCGTTGAAGACTTCCTCCATGGCTGGGCCTGTAACGTGGTAGTGGAAGATTGGATTAGCGAACTCTTCGAACTGATTAAGATTGACAACTTTGCCTGCGCCTTCCTTTGTGAGGGAGCCAGCCTTGTCGAAGATCTCCTTGACGTTGGATTCGCAGCCTGGTGTGGCGTAAACTTCGGCACCGATCTCCTTGAGCCAGTTGAATCTCTCCTGGGACATTTGTTCTGGGAGAACAGCGATGGCTGTGCAGCCAAGAAGGCGGGAGTTGAAGGCACCACCACGGCAGTAGTTGCCTGTTGATGGCCAGAGAGCCTTCTGTGTTGTTGGGTCGAAATCACCACGGATAAGGCGGGAAACGAGTGGGCCATATGTAGCACCGACCTTGTGGCAGCCTGTTGGGAAGCGCTTGCCGATGAGGACGTAGATTGGGGCCTTAACACCAGAAAGAACTGTTGGGATTTCAATTGCGTTGACCTTTCCGTAGCCGCCTGTCTTGATATCGTTATGCCATGAGATACGGAAGAGATTGAGTGGATCAACATCCCAAAGACCGATTGTCTTCAGCTTCTCGACGATCTTGGCTGGGACTTTCTCTGGATGAGCGAGTTGGTCGAATGTTGGGAGGATGATATTGCGCTGCTTGCAAAGTTCAATTGTCTTGTTGAGGATTTCCTGGTTAACAATCTGTGTGTTGACGTACTTGGACATCTTCTAACTAAAGTGAATTAATCTCCTCTCAATTGAAAACGATGAAGTAATTCAATTTTTCTGAAATGCCCCTTTGTTTTTTCTGACAAACGTTTCTTTTGCTTGGTTCTGAAATCTCGAGATTTCTGATTTTTTATTTATGGTATTAGTTTTGTTATTTACTATTAAAAATCTGAAAAAAAAAGATAAAAAAATAAGGAGAGCATTCAATCGCTATAGAAAATGATTGGATTGGTCGAACATTCAATCCCTCACATCTAGATTCATTAGAAGATGATATGATAATTGATGAATGATCTTGGAGATGGGAGAAATCTACAACAATATTTTGAATCCAGGTATTGGTTGTATGAGTGCATTACTCTAATCTTAAATAATATCATTTTAAAGTGTTCCTGGGTATGAAAAGGTGTAATTACATCAAATTATTGAGTGGTTCTTAGTTATGTAGGAAGCTACATATTTGCCATAATTTAGAAGATCTCATTGTTTTGTTTGGTGATTGAGATAAAGTATAATGATATGTTCGTAGATGAAACAATATTAAATCTGCAAGTTATATTCTTTTGAATCTAAATAAAGAATTTATATCTATATTTAAAGAATAGCACTATATTAAAATTGTGATATCTCTATTCATTTTAATATTGTCAAAATATCCGAAGGTAATTATATTGATTGCGAATTTTAGTATGGGGAAACATATTAACATCGCAAGATGGAAGGATAGAGTGAATGCATTCTGTATAATAAGTTATAAACAAATCGAAGCACAAAATTACCGATAGTAATTAGATCTACATGTAGTGACTAGCATGTACAAGTGGATTCATTTTGATATAATATAACAACAAAATTATTTATTAAACATTACAAGAAATAAATATTAAATCATATACAAATAAACTAATGGTTTGTATTAATATAATAGACGCCTATAGCATGATATTATTTTTCGTATTACTTCGGCAAAAACCCAACAAAACTCTTAACTGGTTTGAGAATATTTGGTCTCTTAAGAGGAGGTTCGGCTATGTGGTCATCGTTAGATGTGTTTCTTCTAAACGGTACTTTGCCTGTTTTTGCTAAGTCTTCGATGGCTTTCAGGGATCTGAATACTGGCAAAACTTGAGAAGATGAAGCACGAACGCCTCTTCTATGGGCAAGTAAGTGAACAGATACATTCGAGAAATATAAATCTTTTATCTGTTCTATGGTCGGACGATCTTCCGGGATAGGAACCAAAATTGCTCCGATTAATCTTTTAATTATATCATTTGTAATGGATGGTGGGTTGTATTGACAAGATATCATGGATGCGATGAGTTTGATTTCATTAATTTGAGTAAAAGGCATATCTTTGACGTATAAAAGATAAATAATTACGCCAAAACTCCAGATATCTCCCTGGAGCGGATGCGATAGATCTAATTGTATACGTTCTGGTGAGATAAAGTTTATATTATAATTTGAGAAATGTTTCTCTGGTTTTTGGTAATATTGGGATAAGAAAGCAAAATTGCAAATTTTCGGTGACATTTTGTTTCCAAGAAAGATATTTGCAGGAGTTAAGTCTCCGTGATGAATCTGGTGCGAATGTAATTCTAATAATCCATTTATTATTCCGGAAATTATGATATGGCACTGATGTTCGTTCGGAACATTGTATGAGAGAAATCCTTCCAAGGACATAAAACTAAAGAATTCAGTGATCAAATACATTCGAATGTCATCGTTAAGGAAATCTATTACTCTGACGATATTTGGATGGCTTAATTGCCTTATTATTTCTATCTCTTGGATTAGCTCGTTCCATTTGTTTGCTTTCTTCACGGCTGCTGTGTTAAAATTATAACAATGGTATGAAGCGCCATCCATTCCGATAACAATACATCGTTGATAAAAGCGCGTCTCTTCTAAGATCTTCGTCATTGTATATCCAGGAATTACCGTAGGTTGTACGAATAATGTGCCAGGTAATGCCATCTAAAAAAAATTTTGAATGAGTGGTTTTCAAAATTAAAGGTGTTTGTTTACATATGAAATACGATAATAATTTGGACCAAACAATTATAAAGAGTGGTTGAGATTATCCAAAGGTACATTCACTATTTTTGACAAAATTTTAAATTTTCATGGGGTTGTAAATCTTATAATAACTAGATGAATAAGGAATGAATCCCAGTATAATGTGCATCATTATATTAAACACTATATGTAAGGCTAATGATTCTATTAACACTTATGAAGATCTATAGTATTTGAGCAGATAAATTTGATAATTTCCAAAACTCTTATATTTCAAAATTAAAGTGTGCGAATGCATTTAAATGAGAGCAAAAAGAGATTGATGCTGTTAAAACTAGGTGTTAATTTGCAATTATTTCGCATCACAAGAACTACCCAGTAAATTCGGCTATCTTTCTTTGCAATTATTCTCCATTATACATATAATATAATATAATGGTTAGGGTTTGAAGAAAAGTTACTAGAGAATTATTGACTTTTGAAATAATGCAGAATTTTACTTGAAGAAATCATTAATTTATGAGTTCCAAATTGCTAAGCATGACGAAGGATCATTAAATTTGCTACAATTAAATACACTTATTGCAGAATTAAGATTTTTGAAATTAAAAGTTTGAAATATTGCCTTTTTGAATAAAAATTTAAATTTTATTATATAATCATGATAATATCTTATAGAAATTAAAAGAAAATATTTTAAACCATTCAAATATTTTGAATGTCTTATCAATTTAAAATATTAAAAGATAGCTTGATTTTATCATCATTAGTTGTTATCAATGTTTTCTTCTTTTGATGAACAACAGTAAATGATTTGTTAATTACTTGTCTTCCTTTTTCGCAGCAAAATCGAAAGTTATGATGATAATCTTGCTGTCAATTTTGAAACTCTCTGATTTACAAGTAAGCATTCCTTTGGAAAAGCAGTCCTATTCTGTTTTCAAGATATTTTAAAGCCTCCATTTCATACAATGCGCAGATCTGTTCGAAATTGCAAGAACTCTCAAGAAAAATGCAGCAGCAAAGAAGATTCCATAGTTTCTAGCATCAAAAATTTACAACCTTAATACAACAGTTAAAGAGAAGCTCGAAAAGAAAATATTTAACCATAAAGCTGGAAACCATTCGATATCTACTATTGGATCTAATAAAAAGTTAATTATAACATATTTTACATGCTATTTGTTGACTCTGTTCCATTATATTACCATAAATATCTTTTTGAAATCTAAAATATTTTTACGATTTTAACCATGTGTTGTTGAAACCATATATCAATCTTAGCTAAAGTATAGTTTATGAGTCTGTCACCATCTAACGTATGAATTTTCAAAAATGTCAAATATGTTCATTTTTTCTGTAGATTCAGCCATAATTTCACGTTGTTATACTATTCAACTATTATTTAATATTTTTATCGATTTAAATATATGATGAGATGCTTAGTTCTCCTAGAAATCGATTTTTAATCGCAATTTTAACTTTCCAAAAAAAATTCAAAAATAAAAATCTCTCTCAATTTTCTAAGTTTTATAACTCGCCAAATCTCTAGCCAAATTTTTTTTGGCCCGTATAAATATTGTTAGGCACTATATAGGGATGCTATTTATCCTATTTTCATCCCATTTTACTGTTATCGCCTAGTGAATGTACCTTTGATTATCCATTACAATTTTGACAGACTTGTAAACCAGTTTACATGACTCGATGTGTAAATCAATATTTCTTATCAATAATTTGACACTTCTTCTCAAACTTCCAAGTATCGGATCATTGAAATGTTTTGGAGGAATATTTTGGAATAAATGAGTGAATCGAAATAACATAAAAATGTTTTGGGCACACAATTTTTCCAAATCCTTATGGCAAGATTATTTCACGAACATTGCCATATATAAATATATTTTCAATATGTTATCAATGACCTCCAGCTAATTATGCGCAGCAAAAGCATTGAATTTGTATCAAATTCAATCAGAAATGCAATTTTGAACAGTTTTGATAACATTAATAAGCTAGCAATATAACATATTCGTACCAAAAGTGGACACGATAAGGATTCTTGATTTTTCTTATACTTGGTTGACAGATCTTTCAAAGATTAATCGATTCCATGTTATCTTGTGTTTATACAAGTATCTTTATGTTAATTTTCAGTATTGAAATGTATTTTCATTATTAAAATGAGAATATATATTCAGATTTCAACCGAAATAGAATATTTATTGAAAAACGAATCGTTTACATGAAAATAAAACATACAAATAGTAATCAAACAACATAACTTGTGCAGCAAACTTCCTCATTATTATAAATCGTGTCGACATAAGAGAATCCTGGAATACAAGCTTCAGATCCGACTATTGGAGGTACATAAGAATCTGCTTTAATTTCAGAAGTAAATATTGGGTCAAAATACTTCACTTCCGTTGGTTCCTCAAGATTTGGAATGTATTCTGGTGTTAATTTCTTATTTAAAATGTCTTCGAAGGTAAATTCGGAGAAAAATGGATGCTGTGATACTTCATTGTATCCTGCTCTCTTCTTTGGATCCTTTTCGAGCAAAATTGAAATGAAGTCAATTTCTTCTGGAGATGCGGAATCTGGAAATTCTACCTTCTTATTAAGAATCATTCTATATACAGCATCGACATTTTGGCTGTAGAAAGGGAATTTGTGGTAAATCAGTTGATACGTCAAAATTCCTAATGACCACCAATCAACGGACTGGTCATAAGGAACCCCAACAATAGTTTCTGGTGCTATATACTTTGGGGTTCCGCAAAATGATGTTGTCTTGTTATCTGTAATTATATCTTTTGCAAGGCCGAAATCTGCAAGTTTAATGTAGCCGTCAGCACCAATAAGTATATTTTCTGGTTTGATATCTCGATATACGATACCAATACTGTGCAAGTAATTTAATGCAATGGCAATTTGAGCGATCACCATTTTGTACTCCATTTTGCTAAGATATCCATCTCTATGAATTCTTGTGTATAGCTCGCCGCCTGGAACGTATTCCAAACCTAAGTAAAACTTTGCAGGAGTCTGAAAAGCAAATCTAAGCGCAACAATGAAAGGATGATTGGCTTTAGAGAGTATGTTTCTTTCTGCAATAACTGTATGTATTCTGTTTTGCTGTATAAGTTTGGATTTACGAATAGACTTTATGGCAAAAACTTCTCCTGTTGATTTTGATTTGACCAAGCGAACCTTTCCGTAACATCCTTTCCCTATAACGCTAATGATTTCAAAGCAGTTCATATCAATTGATGGATTGTTGAATGTAACAGCTCTCAAAATAAGAACCCACAACATCATTTGTTCGGATCTCTTTGTTTTAAGAGTTGCAGAGTTGCCCATCGGATCTTCAACATAGAATTTTCTGTTCTTTTTGCTCTTGAGAATAAGGATTTTCGTGTCAGGAGTGATTTCGATCGTTAAATCAACATTTTCTTTCTTATCATCCTTCCATATCATGAGTTGTGAACCCTGTAAAACACAGAATCTCTTTATCCAACGTCCAAATAGCCATTTTTTCTTCACCCATCCTTCAGGATTTGATATTTCATTGTATTCCATTCAAATGATTTTTCTGTAAAGAAAAATTGAATAGTATCACAAAAATTCGTGGATAAACAAGACATAATTTATTTCATTATTATCGAGAATAAAATTAACATAAATTCGATCAAAATTTTTCGGGTTTTCCAGATATCAAAAACAAATTTTTCAAATAAATACAACTTATTCCATAAAATAGTCATGAGTAATGACATGCAGTATAAATTCACAATATTAATTGATTACATCGAAATTCAATGTTGATTTTTCGATGTCCAGAGTCAGCATTTTGTACTTACATCATTACAAAAATGTTTGGAAAAAAAAAAAGGTAGTGGGGCTTCCAGGCACTTCGTGCCCTCTAGCCCCGAAGATGTTTAGTATAAATGAAGTTTTTTGGGTATTGGGGGCTTTCCAGGGGCTGCGCCCCTTCTAGCCCATAAAAATTTTTGAGAGTCGTCGCTGTTGACTTTTTTTGTAGAGCGCTCAAAATAGTATAACTATGTCCGGACAAGTAAGGGTCTATCGTCGCTACAGGAAAAGTTACGGGCGTTCCAAGGAAGTATACTTTGAGAGACTCTTTAGAAACTTTAGACGTTTTACATAACCATCCATGTTTTTACTTTACATCCGATAAAAGTGGTTTGGAAACCGTTATGAGATGGTTAGAGGACATACATGACTATGAGTTTAGATATGACAAGATAGAATATGAGAGAGGTCCTATAAACCGGAGAAAGTGTCATATAAACATCTGTCAAAAACCGCTTTTTAACTTCACTTAAAATGCCACGTAAGCTACGTAAGAATATACGTAAGAGGAAGAGAGCATTGAAACATCCAATAGTAAAACTGACACCACAACAACAGTTGCAACAACAAATGATGAATGACCCCACTATGTTGCAACAAATGTCAAGCAACCCTATGCTTTTAAACCGAGTTATTGGTGCACAGAGTGGAGGTTTAAGAGCGGCACTTTTAGCGAAAATGGCAGGCTATGGTGGAGCTGCAGACGGAACAGCCTATAACCCTCAAAGTCAAATGAATTTGAGTTCACTCAAAAATCAAATAACAGATGTCAAAAAGTCAAACATAGACATACAGAAACAAATAAGTGAAAACGAAAAGAAACTAGAATATGACAGACACACAAAGAAACTCAATGAGTTAAACGTAGAGAAAAAGAAGAAAGAAGAACAACTGAAAGAACTAAGTACAGAGCAATATGCGAAAAAAGTGTCAGAAAAAGCAGCAGAAGTAGCAAAAATGGAACAAGATGTTTTAAATTTGAAAAACCATACTACTCAATATAAAGTACTGAAAGATGAAGAAATAAAACAAAAAGCCCTGAAGACATATATGGATAGCGATGAGTATAAAAAAGAAGTTGAAGCAAATGTAAAGGCAGAAAAACTTTTACAGTTGCAAAACCAAACCGTACAGTATGAAAACTTAGCGCAAGAAAGTAAAAATAACGACGCAGCCATGCAAAAGGCAATGAAAAGCGCAGAATATATAAAAGCTAATAATGACTGGTTAGATGCCCAAGCCAACGCTAAAGCAGCCCAACTTATAGGGTCAATAAGGACAAAAATACAAGCGGATGAAGACAGTTCAAATGAAGCTTTAATGAATGCTGACTTTAAGAACGCCTTCGAAGCTCTTCATAGTAAGGTGAAACTAGTGAACGACTTCTCATCTGGAAAGAAACTGAAGTCTGAAGGTTTCGACAAAGAGTTAAGAGAAGTAGCACAAAATATGACGAAAATAACAGATGCAGCAACGAGACAGGCAGTTCAAAGTGCCTATGACGCCGTTAGAGCAACTGTTGTGGAAAGTCAAGAAAAAGAGTTACAACAGACCAAACAGACCTAGTAAATGCTTTCTTAAGAACGAAAAGTCAGGTAGGACATTATGCTGCAGATGGAACATATGTGCCAGCTGGTGGAACTTATATACCACCAAACCCTCCAAGAGAAGCACAGCAACCAACAGTTCAAAACCCTGCACAACAACAACCACAAACAGAGCAAGGACATAAAAGAAGTAGAGAACAAGGAAACCAAGAATTCTTAAAAATGCTTAAGGAAGATTATGGTTACCCAGATACTCTTGACTTTAGTGACAGATATAAAGAAGCTATTAGAAAGTTCAAGGAAGGAAATACTGACCCGAACCTATTTAGCTTTATGGTTCAGCACCAAATGGGATATAATTTCAAACCTGGAAAATACAAGCTCGCTAAGGGATATGATTTAATAGCATATCATCCAAATGACATGAACGAATTTACTCCGAGATATTTGGTGTCAGAGCTAAATGACAATTCAACTCTCTTCATGAAACGCGTAAAAAATAGAGACGGAACGAAAGAAGAAAGGTTTATGAGTCCGGATGACTTAGATAGGGAACTTGTTAAAAACGGTCTCGGAATATATGAAATGCCAGCAGATGAGGTACAAGAAACTCCACAGGAAGAAGTTCAGATACAACCAGACATGGAAGAAATAGTTCAGCAACAACAGCTAGAAGAGCCTGAAGGAAACGAACAAGTCCCTCCTTTGGAAACTAACTTCACAGAACTAGATGAAGATTTGGAACAGCCGAAAAATCTTGACCCTCAACAAGAGTATGAGGTGAATATGGAATCTTTCCAAGAGTCTAAAAAAAATTCGGCTGACATAGTAGAAGAATATCGAAAAATGTTTGCCGACATACAAAAGACTCCAACACCAGATGAAAATATTCAGCATAGAATGGAAGTACTGAAAGAAAATGTACGCAAATACAACAACCCTTTTTACTTACGACCATATAACGTTCAATCTTTGGCTGAACTCGGTGAAAATAAAAGGTTAAATTTCAACAAAACATATAGAAATGAAACATTGTTTAAAGTTCATTCAGAACCTAACCAAGATGGAAACAAACCTACTTTTGTTTCTGCAGACTATGGAACTACAATGAGATGGGGTCATAAAGCTAATCCGGATAGGTGGTTCATAAACTTACAACCACAATTCCAAGAAGTTGTAGACGCAATGGAAGTGAATGGTGAACCAGATATAGCTGGTATTTTAAGCGCGGCTTTAATGCCATTGAAAGATATGAAACATGCAGATATTTTGGACCAGTATGAAATGAACATGGCTGATGGAAATATAACACCTGACGTTCTAAAACATTTATCTCAAAGAACTACACAGAACCATAGAGATGGTATATTTGGTGAAGAGTTTAGAAAGAGAGTTAGGGAGAGAGAAGGAAGAGAACCTATTGTACATGACCTTGCAAACGAAAGTTTACAAAATGTCATAAAAACTTACTTTGCAGACAATGAACCGAGAAGGGATGAATATTTAAGAAAACTCAAATGGACAGTACCAAATGAAATGTTAGTATTGAAAAACATGTTCCTTGACAAAATAAAACCAACTACAGAAATAAATGACGCAAGACTGAAACATTGGGTAAAAGCTTTCCCATTCACAAAAGATATTATTGGTAACATGGAAAGAAAACCAGAATGACTACAAAAACATATATTTGGAAACGAGCTTATTCCATATGGACAAGCTCTGTTTGAAGAGCTTGAACCGGAAACTCAGGAAAGAGTCATGCAAACAATACGCGAAGACTCAAATACAAACTATGACAAAATCTTTCTAGGATATATGTTACCTGAGATGGGCGACCAGAGCCCAAAGGCAAAAAGGACATGGGAAATTTACAACATACTAGGTGAACATGAGGCAAAGATGCTACAACTTGAAGCAGAGGGCAAGTTACCAAAAGCGACACCAAAGAAGAAGAGAAGAGTAGAACAAAGTGAAAGTAGTGAAGAAGTAACTTCATCTAGTGAAAGTAGTGGCAATGAAGGAAAAAGAAGAGTTAAAAACTCAGTCAGGAAGAAAGTAAAGCTTGGTCCGAGTGGGTTCTATTATGACACATAAATCCAACTATTCTATATTTTTACCCATATGAAATGTACGCCGCTCAGAATATAACGCCAACAGTTTTGGATGCCATGAATGGAAATGTTTCCGAATGGTATAACGAATGCGACAATGCCATTAGAAGGTCAGAAATAGTTCCTGGAACTTACGAATATACAACTGCTGTTTCTTATGGAAACGTAGGTGAGTTTGGAGAAGGTTCTTCAACAACAGTAGATATTGCTTGCGACAGGTTCATATATATTTCTATTGACAACTCATTCTTATACGTGGAACAAGACATTGAAATAAAACCTTCTGCCAAGTTGTCTGACAAGAAAGGTTGCAATGGAATTTTCTATGTCGGATACCAATATGCTCCAGAAGTTTTCATGGGATATAAGATATATTCTAACTCTGACTTAGTTCAAACAGTAACATGGGCAAACTATGAATGGTTCGCTTTGAGAAACTCAGTACAACCACAAGCTAGAGAACAAACAGACCAGTATGCAACTATTGAGAAAATAAGAAGACTTGACCCTAACGTTCCAGGAGTTTATGTTAACCTTTCTGGTTCAGATGGAACTGCTGCCACTAAAGTAAAACTGAAACTTAGAGTTCCTTTGTCATCTTTCCTCATCTTCAGGTTTTTAAGATACTTGCCAAACTGGGCAGGAAAAATTTCTATTGAACTTACTCCAAGCAAAAATAACTTAGTCATTGCACCAACACAAGACCCATTCACTCTTACAGACGTAAAGGGAACAAATAAAACGTCATTCGCCGAATTTTGCAAAGACAAAGTTGACTTAGACTTTGGTTTCTCAAACCTCAACACTGAAGTAAACTATTATTTCAATGCTGCTGGAGATGCTTGGGACCCAGTTAAGTTCACATGCGAAAAATTTGAATGCAAGAGAATAGAAAGCAGACTTGCAGTCTATATGTTGGACCCAGATATTTCAAATGCTTTAGCTGCCAAATATATTGCAGTTCCACTTATGTTCCCTATACACCAAATATCTGTCAAAGACTTTGCAGGTGAAGTTGGAAACCAAAGTGCTGACCCAGGTGCAAGAACAGATATTGCCTTAACAACTGCAATGAAACATGCAGATACTATGTTTGTACTGTTCAGACGAACTATAAATGACTATTCTTGTTTCTACAACCCTGGTATTAAATATCATATAAACATAGATGGCAAATATTATCCAAGAGAAGAATATTCTACAGTTGAAGATATGAGGTCATACAACTTGACATTAGATGCTATGAACTTTAACAACAACTTCACAACAACCATTAACCCTGAAATGCAAAGTTCTATTATGCCATATGTGAAAGTATGGACTCATACAGGAGGTCAAAAAACTCAATATACAAATAGAGACCGTTCAAACTTTTGGCTTGGCATTCCATTTGCTGACTCAGAAGACTTTATGGGTGGTATTTCAACTGTTGGTACAGTTCAAATACAATATACTGGTGACAGAGACGGTCCAGATGAATTGAAAGCAAAGAAGTTTACAAAACCAATAGCACTTTTCACGGAAGATGCTCTTTTGAAGATTCGTTCGATGAAACCTGCTGGGGCTCCTCAGATTGGCATAACGACAGCTTCCATCGAGCAGATTTTGGCAGCAGGTCAGTAAGTTGTTCTTGAACTGACTTCTCTCCGTCAAATATTGACAGTACGCCAGTTTTGACATAATATTGTATTATAAACTTTCCTTTAGAAATATCGGTCAGTTTTGAAGTTATATTTTTGTCTGCTTCAAGAACTTTCACCATTTCAGTTATACCAACTTTCTTTGCTTTATGAAAATATTTAGGTTCAGCAAATATTGCTATTCTATAACATTTTCCATTGTTTGTATAAAGAACTATTCTGTCAATGTATTTGTATTGTTTGTGTGTGTGTAAACTTTGTTTTGCTTCAATTCGAAGAGATACTCAAATACGTCCATTTTTTATTCTAAGTAAAATGTCATTTCCGAAAAATAGAAGCGTAAGTGTTTCAAAAGGTTTAATGGCGGTGGCAGATGTGAAGTTAAATTCACCAACTCAAACAAACAGTCAAAGTGTTGTTGTCAATGTCAAAGACAGAGATGTTGAATGGGGAAACCATACGAAGACGAAGATGGTATAACAATAGTTCCTGTAAAAGAACAACCAACATATCCTGAAGTTAGCAGAGACTTAAGTTCTGTTGCAGATATTCGAAACGACTACCAACAACTGAAAGACAAACTTAAAACTCAGGAGAAGATTTGTCAAGCTTTAGGTATAATGTTAAACTTGGTCGAACACAACCCTGTAAAAGTGAACTCATATGTCATTGCACCTCATGAAGTTTTGAAAGAACTATTGAAACTTTTGACAGAGGCAGACGATATAAACATCAAAGAAATAGAACCCGACATTAGTTGCTGTGGTGTTTCATATAATGTCATTGACAAGATATACGTTATGAAAGGAGGTGAAACGTTGAACTTAAAATATAGTTTCCCAGACGTTATAAAAATATTTGACGACCACAACATTTCATTAAAATTTATTTGCTAAGTAAATGGCAGAAGACATAATGGTTTATACTATTACGACTAAAAACCCTGAGTCATATAATTCTATAACAACAAACTTACAAAGTCCTCAAGGACGATATTGTAAACTAACCTTAAACACAATGACGACTAAAGCCTGTTTTGCTCTTTTGACACCAGAAGATTTTATTGTTGTGAATGGTAAAAAATACTCCTTTGAAGATACTTACTCAGATATACCACCAACAGGTTTTGTTGACTTATTTAATACTTTAAGTACGGGTGTAACATGTGCTGCAACTAGAGCAGGTTTCATTATGTTTGGATGTCCGACTGAGTTTACTATAAACAATATGAGCTATAATACAAAACTTATATTGGTTTTTACTACCAACAGTTTCCTATAACAGGAAAAGTGTCATACAAGGTTTGTCTGTTCCATTGACTTTAAGTACAACCTATTTTATATATTGTTTCAAAACTTAGGTTCAAAGTGTTATTCGAATGTCGACAGAAACTACTATGACCAAAAGATACTTATGCGTATAAACAACACATTCTCTGCTGGTTTGCCTATTGTTCATTCGAATGCAGAGTTTTCAGCTTTAGTAAACTCAAACACTTTAGCAAACATAAACTTAACCTTAGTTGACGCAAACTTTGTTCCTGTAAAACTTTTATGTCCTATGTATTTGTCAATGACGGAGAAAGTTTCGAATTGGAAGATGCAACTGGTGAAAGTATTGTACTACAAGAACAACTTCAACAACAAATAGCTCAAGAACAACAAATGCAACAAATGGAACAAATGCAACAACAAAGTCAAGAATAAAAAAATGTTTTTTTTTATTTTTATAAAAATGTACAGAATAGATGTTTCAGATTTTTATGACTTCCAAGCCTTCAGAAATATGTGTCCATTTAGAGACTATAACAAAGCAGTCGAGAATTTGAACGTTTAGTCATTTATGTTGACTCTGCCCCAGAATGTTATGTTATGAAAGAATGGGATGTAGTCTTTAACAAACCTAAAGCGACAATAGTTTCAGAACAAGAATGTAAACAGAAACTTAAGAAAATAAAAGTCGTACAAGTTGCATGAAGATGTTAGATGCTTGGGATATCTTTTGTCAAAACTTGAAGATTTTTCAGTTCGTGGTATAAAGTTCTATACACCTTCTTCCAAACTTCTATTCTATCTTCACTGGATATAAATACGAACAAGTAGAATGGAAAGAAAATGTTATAGAAGCTTGGTTAGACCATGTCAAAGAAATTATATGCAATGGAAACGAAAGAGTCTATGAGTAATATCTTATGTTGGTTTGCAAACATCTTACAACATCCAAGTGCTAAAAATGAAACTGCTCTCATTATAATTGGAAAACAAGGAACAGGTAAGAACACATTCTTTACAGATATCTTATGCAAACTGTTAGAGGGCTATTCGAACCCTAATATGACAAACTTAGAAAACATCTGCGGTAAATTTAACTCTTCAATAGAGAATATGAAACTTATAGTATGTAACGAACTTCAAAGTATAGATACAACAAAAGTTTTGAACTCAGATGCTTTGAAGAGTCTTATAACAGACAAAGTTGGAGTTGTTGAAAGAAAGTATAAAGACCAAAGAGTTTGTGAAAATGTTGCAAACTTCATTATGGTTTCAAACAATGCTGTTCCGATGAAGTTAGAAAGTTCTGACAGAAAGATATGTAGTTGTCAGAACGTCAAGATTCTCATATGCAAGATACAGAATATTTTGAACGACTTAGCAGAAACTTTGACATCTGACTTTTACAAACCACTTGTTCTCATATTTCATGACATTAGATATTTCTAAGTTCAATCCAAGACAAATTCCACATACGAAGAGAGACAAACATTGTTAGAAGCAAACAAGAGTGTATATGAACTGTTCATAGATGAAACTGACTTTGAGTGTTTAGATGAAAGGTCATTGTACGATTCGTATAAACAATATTGTCAAGAATATGGTTATATGACAGCGTCTAAACGAACATTCTTGGCAAATGTCAAAAGTCTTTTAGACGTACAGAATGGTGTATATACAAAGAAAAATTTTTCTGAGTAAATTTTAAAAAAAAATATTTTTTTATCCGATAGAAAAGATGACAAAATTCATCTCAGTAAACAAGTATATGTCAGGACTTAAAGAAGAACTAGACCCATTCACATATTTGAATGTTTACTTCTACCATTTTGAAAAGTCTTCATTCAGCAAAGTTTGGAACATCGAACCAGTTAAGTTTGCTATTGTGACTAAAAATGGTGCGAAATTTGAAGACTTAGACATAGAAGGTTTGTTAACAGTCAAAGAAAGTTTTGACAGAAGGTTTTCAAACCTTAAAGAAGGCAAAGCATACAAACTTGTTATACCTTATGAACCAAAGAAGACAGACGACTATGAATATTATGAGTCTAAAGTTGTAGAAGTTCAAGGTAAATTGGGTAAAAAGATTTTAGAGTCTAAGCCAGTGTTTGCTCCTAAAGAGGAAGAGAACATTGACATTGACCCAGAAATGTTCTAAAAATAAAATTTTATTTTTACATGTCAAATTTCTTTTTCTCTGGTTCAGGTTCTTTCTTCTCTTCTTCTACTTTCTTTTCTTTCTTTTCTCTCTTCTTCTTTTCTGGTGGAGTTATGTCAAATTTCTCAGAACCATATTTATGTAAAAGTGCTTTGTCATTTAATAGCTCTTCTATTCTGTTTTCTATTTCATCTTCAAGAACAGCGCATGTGTCTTCTTTGCATTCTAAGAAGTTTTGTTGGACTTCATCTCTCCAAGAGGCGTCATCTCTGTCAACAAGTCTGTCATTGACAAATTTTAAGACTGCTCTGCTTAATGTTTTATGGTTCTTGTCATATTCCCAGAAACAGAACTTTAGAACAAATTCCCCTTTCTTGTTTACACTATGTAAGATTTTATGGTCGACAGATGTTTTGCTGTCGAAAAGCTTGTCTCGAATATAGATAGCGAAATCGCTAGACATTTTCTAAAAGATAAAAATTTTAATTTTTCTAAAAATATGTTAGAAAAAAAGTTTGCTGACATTGACAAGAAATTTGAGAATGTTTTAAACAAGAACAAGAGGAAGTTAGAAAATGCTCAGATAAAACCCATACATGACAAGTTCTTATTTGCTCAGAATGGTATAACAGGTCTAATTGCACCACCTGGGTCGGGTAAGACTTTCACTTATCTTAAAATGGCTGCACAACAACAAGAACTAGATGAGAAGAACCCATTCTATGAGTTAGTAGTCATTTGTAGTACTTCGGGTCAATTTGACCAAACCGTCAATTCGTTCAAAGATATTATAAAGAAGTCTAAGTTAGTATGTATAAAGGATACTGAGTTGTTAGATTGGATAAAGAAGTACCAAAGAAGAGTTTTGAAGTATAATGCTATAAATGAGTATGTCAATTCGAAGTTTAAAGACCCAAATGAGGAAATGCAGAGAATATTAGAGAAGAAACACTTCAGAAACAAACAGAAAGAGATAGAATACATTTCGAAGAAATTGCAATCTTACGATTGGAAGACTTACC